TAAAAGGAAAATTAACTCTATCCTAGCAAACTCAGGACACCCTCCCATGCAGTGTGTTCTGGTGCTTCTGTGAGACCCCTTTAGTGTCCTTCACCCCCTTTTCCCACTTCCCCCATAGAGGAATTCAGTGAGTTTAACATCAGAGGGAACCTGTTGTTTTCAGCGCAGCTGACAACATTTCCTCTAGTGAAACTCCGTTGGTGTATGTGTTGTGGCTGCATGAGAACAGGCTGTGCCCTCACCTCCAGCTGTTCTCTCCTTGCATTCCCAGGAGGGTCCATCCTGCTGGAGCAGTGGCCTTGAGCCTGCTCCTCATCTGTGGGCTGCAGCGTTTGCACATGACTTAGGAAGGCGCTTCCTGGCAGGGCTTCAGGTGTCTTTCTGCCAGAGACAGCTAGGGAAGCTCTGTGGCGTGGCGTGGCGTGGCGTGGTGGTTTTCCTTCCTCTCTGTTCACATGCAGGTGTGCTGTGCTCTGGGGATGCTGGTCAGCCTGGCCACGCCCCGCGCTCTCTCCCGAGGCTGAAGGGCTGCTTCTCTCCGCAGGCTTCATGGGCGCAGCGAGGAGAGTGACCAGCAAGAATCCCTGCACAAGCTCCTGACCTCCGGAGGACTGAGCGAGGATTTCAGGACCCCTTATCCTCCCCTCAGAGCTAATGTTATTGAAGCTATTAACGAGCTGCTAATAGAGCTAGGTACGGATGGGTCTGAGTTGCTCCATGAGAGGGGCTTTGTGTGGGATGGGACTCATGCTTCTCCCTCCTCTTTGGTGGAAAGAAAAGAGCAAGGATCTAGGCTTAATCTGAAGGAACTAAGGAACTGAAGTCCTGCTGCTCCCAGGACTTAAAAGTCCTCTTTGACTTACAGGGAGGTGGGTGGAACACTGTGGAGGGAACAGTATGGGGGGTCTATTGGCCTGTGCTCTGGGTCTTCTGGGAAGTCTTGAGTTGAGTCCTGAAGAAGAGTATCAACAATATGCGAAGGTTGGACCTAATCCCTGTGGGATAGAACCTGACCCTTGTCACAAAGCACCATGATATGTTTTTCTGTGATCTTGTGATGGATCAGGCACCCAACTCTCCTTCTGAGGCCCAGGTTGCCCCGTCTTTCCTTTCCACATGGTTCTAGTGCTACTGAGCTGTAAAACCATTGCATTTCTGTCACTAGTTGTTATGTGGGCACGGTGGTTATCTGGAGTAGTGCTGACACAATCCACTCCCCTCGTGATGGAGTTTTCAATGTGACTATTTCTCTGAGTGGTTAGGGAGCACGAAGCGTTCAAGGGCCAGCTTCTCGGTCCCTCTCCACTGGTATGGAGAATGGGAGAAAAGCTGCTCCTGCTCTACCAGTGCTTACTGCATCACTTTAGTGAAAAATGACCTTGCTGGAGGACAGCCCTAGCAGCACGAGTGTTGCTTTTGCTCCCTTCTGTTACAGAGGGCACCACCGATAACATCGCCATGCAGGCGCTGGAGCACATCCACTCCAACGAGGTGATCATGACCGTCGGGTACTCGCGCACCGTGGAGGCCTTCCTGAAGGAAGCTGCCCGCAAGAGGAAGTTCCAGGTGATCGTGGCGGAGTGTGCGCCGTTCTGCCAGGTACTGCCCTGTGGCCACTTCAGCTGGAGGGCTGCATTTGTGCTTCATCGCTTGGTGATTTTGCGGTTCAGGCAGAAATTGAGCGCTAATATCTCTACAACTGCAGTGCAGAGCTACGTCCCAGGGGACCACTTGGGTTCTCTCTCTTTTTAGGGTCATGAAATGGCTGTCCGACTGTCGAAGGAGAACATTGAAACTACTGTCATGAGTGATGCAGCTATTTTTGCTGTCATGTCTCGAGTCAACAAGGTAAGGAGGGCTCTGCTGGAGGAGGGGGTTCATGGCAGGTTTGGAGCTTAGGCCTCCCAAACCAGCTGCAGGTCCCAGCAGCGATGGATGCGTTTCTGCGCTATAATAGTCCCTGTTTACAGCTGGGGTGGAGCTTCTGTGTGGAACCCCACGTCAGTACAAGGACTGACTGCATGGTGATAGGTTTTTCTGCTTTAGTGGCTAACAGGCAGAACAGTTACAAGAAACCAAGACAGCAAAGCCTCAAAGGATTAACTTCATGTTTTTTAAAGAAGGTGGAACAAAATAAAGCATTTCCAAAGAGGAGAAACTCCCCTTGTGTGGAACACAAGATGGGTGGTGAAAGGAATCAGCAAGGTGTGTAATTTCAAACAGACCTCTTCTGTACTTTTTATAGAGATGAAGACTTGGCATCCCAAACTAAAAAAAAAAAACAACCAACCAACCCCAAACCTACTTGTAACATAATAAAATCCAGCCACACCACTTCTTAGCAATGTATTTTAAGCTGCTTCACGTTATTCCCATTTTACAGCAAGGGAGTTGTTGCAGCCAGCAGTCAAGTTACTCATACAGAGCTTACTTTGCAGGCTTGTAGAACAACAGGGAACACAGCCCAGTTTCTGCTCAGTGTTCCCTGCAGTAGAACAGACATTTGTCCTCTGAAGTTCTCTGTGCTGGCCTCACCATGCTGGAGTCATGCTCTTGTTGGAGGAGAACGTCTCGGTGCAGAGCCAGTGCCAGATGAAACAGATGAGGCATCCAGCTGCCCTGTAACTCCAGCCGCTGGCTGTTCTGACAAACTCCTCCTCCAGCTCATCAAGCAGGGTCTGAGCCAGGAGACGTTCCTTCCCCAGTTTGCTGTGGAACATGCTATCTAATGCTGATTTGCCTTTTAAGGTCATAATTGGTACGAAGACAATCCTGGCCAACGGCGCCCTGATTGCTGTGAGTGGGACGCACACTCTGGCCCTGGCAGCTAAACACCACTCCACTCCGCTCATCGTCTGCGCCCCCATGTTCAAGCTTTCACCGCAGGTAAGTACAGCAGCTCTGCAGGACTGCACCTGCTCTGCTAGACATGGGGAATGATTTGATGCTTGTGGAAGCTTGGGGTGGACAGCACCACCTGTCCCAAGGCAAGGCTGGTAAACGAGCCATCTCCCCCATCTAGTGCTGTTCCTTCAGAGAGATCCTCACCCAAGTCTGGCATGCCAATCGGGATCTCCCTGAAGCACCTCCTCTGCCACATGCCTTGCGTGGGCAGTGCATTGGGTGTAAGGATGTAGACCACTGCCTACTAGAGACTGACATCACCATACTTTTCGTCCACCACCGTGGATTTCAGTGTACAACTGTAGTGTGGAAAGACCCTCTGTACTGACAGAGGAGATAGCTGGAGATGCTCTGAACTCTTTCTTACACTCAGTACTTTTACAGTGCTGTCAGATGAAGTTGCAGACTGAGGAAGTCACTTCTCTGCTCCACATCCCTAGGCTTTGCAGAAGGGCAGCCAGGTCATAGAAGGCTCTAAAAGCTCTGAGGTAAAACCTTTCAGCTGTAGATGTTACAGAGGCTCTAGGCACAAGCACTGTTAAAGAGATGTAGTGTCACTGACAAGTCCTCCTCCTCTGCTTTAGTTCCTTCTGGCACCCAGGGTCTGTTTTCACTAGGACAGTAAGGCAGTCTCTTCTTGTTTGTTTTTGTTGTTGTTTTTTTCTCCTGACCTACTTGTACTCTTTCTCATTCAGTTCCCTAATGAAGAAGATTCATTCCACAAGTTTGTGTCGCCACAGGAGGTGCTGCCGTTCACAGAAGGTACAGGTTCTTCTTAATACAGGCTGGTCAAGCTGGTTTAGCCTATAATTTTTAAATATCTGTCTAATAGCTTACACAAAATTTAAACATGAGACTGTCCTGTAATCCAAGACAGAAAATTCTTTCCTATTGTCCTAAGCAGAAAAAATGCTGGGAGCCATCCTGTTCTAGATATAACTTTCTACAACAGAAAGTACAGAAAAGGGATTTCCTTTGAACACCATCTTTGCTTGTTTGTTTCTGCTCTGAAATAGTCAGTGTTTTATTATGGGATTGTGATAATGGTGCCAGGCAGGTGGCAGTTTCCTGTGGGACAGAGCATATGCTCAGCACCGAGGGCAGCTTCCTTTCTTTCCTTCAACTCGTGTTAACCTCTTGAAGCTTGGTTATGTGATCCACTTTTTGAAACCCAGTGTCTCTGTAATGGGCTTCCCACACAAGCACTGTCTTCAGAAAGGTGGCAGCTCCCAAGCCTGCTTTCAGATAGTAAAGTCTCTTTCAAAGCCCTGTTTCTGTGTGATAAACTTTTGAAATGAAGATACCAGGTTGGGCACAGGTTTTTGTTTTTGTCCTTCTGAGCTTCTGTTGAAATAATAACTTTGTCAGCATCAGGCAGGTTTTCTGGCAATTAGTACATCTGCACCAGAGGGGTTATCAGTGAAAACTACCAAGAGAGAGTGCTGCCACTCATCCAAGATTGCTGTATACCTGTGATTCAACATCACTGAGGAAGCTGGATGTCCCAGTAAAGGACTCAGGATGTGCCAGTACTGACTTTAGGGTGGCACGTGCATAGCTGGTTTCTTTGGGGGCTCAGGCAGATGTGCAGAAGGTGCATTTACTTTACTTTGAGTTGCTTTGTCTAATATTGGTGCTGTTCACTTTACAGGGGAGATCCTGGCAAAGATCAATGTTCACTGCCCGGTGTTTGACTACGTCCCTCCAGAACTAATTACTCTCTTCATTTCTAACATTGGGGGTAATGCGCCTTCCTACATCTACCGCCTCATGAGTGAGCTCTACCATCCAGATGACTATGAACTCTAAAGTCACTCTCCAGACTTTTCCTGTCTTTCTCTGTAGAAAGATACAACAGCTAACTAAAGTGTATGTTGCAAAGATGGGTTGCTGTGGGGAATCAGTGGGAAATTTGTTCAGCACAATGTCTTTCCTACCCAAAAGCAACAGAAGGCAGAGCTTTTGTACTGGTATCGATCCCTGTGCTGTGTGACGAGCCGCATGGAGCTGCTAACCCACTTTGATTCGGAAAGAGCAAGGCATGCGTGTAACTCTGGGGCAGCTAAGCTGTTACCTCAAAGTGTGCTGCAATAAAGGCTGTTTACAGTCATCTCGCTGTTAAGCATGTTGTCTATATACAGTTAATTTGTTTCTTTAAGTATCAGGAGTTTTACTGGTGTAGTGAGTTCCCTGCACTTACCTGCAGTAGCAGGCTTTCCGGTGTGCCTTTGCACATGAATGTGATAGCTGCTGGCAGCTGTCTTAAAATTTGCTTTTTTGGATAGAATTTTCTGACAATTTTTGGTGAGTTACTGAAATGCAAACCAGGTTTTTGTACAATGCTGGAATAGAAATTCCACTCTTGATGAAAGGCAGACCTTCAGAAGTTCCATCCACTACCTAGCATACCTCCCTTGTCAGAAGGCAAAGCTCAAGCTCTTGCTTTGCTTACTGTAATCTAAGTGACTGTGATTATTCTTCTTGGGTGGACATCTTGTCTCATTTGGAACGGTCTTGATTTTTTGTGAGAACGCCTTAGAAATCTCAGGCTCTTGCAGGTCAGTCAGATCCCTTTTCCTTAGTCCCTTTTATCAATGTATAGCAATACACTACACCCCAGTTAAGGCAGCAAATGAGAGGTTTCCACTCCTTATTTTGCTTTTGATTCAGCACTATCTACTTGATTTGATTTGAAGTTGGATGTCTGTGATTAAACAAAGATGTCATCTTCTTTTACTGTTCTGAAATAAACTCTACTCCTCTACATTAGACTGAGACACAAAATGGAACTGGAACCTGTAAAAAAAAGTCTGCCTATTGTAAAAAATACTGTCAGCTATTTAGTTATTTCTGTGGAGGTAAGTTTCTATACCCTGGGGACGTGGAGCTATGCTAGGATTTAGAAATCTCTCACTCAAGAATGCAAACTGCAGGGAGCTGGAGAAAACAGCTGGGTGTGTCATTCACTGCCTAGTTAAATAAAAAGAATGTTTTTTGATCCTAAGTTGGCCTATATATACTATGAAGCTGTCCTCATTCAGTCACTCCTCATTCCAACCACTGGCATGAGCCCAAGGAGAGTTTAGTGTTAATTTTATTAATAAATACCTCCCAATTTTCAAAGCACTATAAAATACATTAATTAAAAGTCTCCTCTCTATTGCGCAGAATCGCGCTGTGCTTGCACAGAAAATGCACTTCAGTAACCGTGAGCGGCTGCAACTTCTGGCCTCTGCTGGTCCAGCACTGACATCAGGCGCAGGCTCACAGTGCCATTCCTTAGTGTCAGAGATGCTTCTCCAGGCTCTGAGGTTGGGCTCCTCCTGCCGCGTTCTCCTGGCTGGTCTCTGCTTCGTATGTCAGTACTCGGAGCAGAACTTCAGTTACCGCACTGGCTCAGAAACTTGGCTCCACACAGGGTGTTGTTTAACAACAGGGGGACCTGCATCATACCAACACTTCTAGTGCTTGCAGCTTACAATTGTAACTTTTTAAAATTAGAGTCTTTTTTTTCCAAATAGATGCCATGCTCGCACCATCTTCCGCAGCCTAGCCAAGTTAGGTTTAGGCTGGAAAGAGAAAAATTGAGAAGCACTAAGTCACAACTAGGTAAATGAACGTCAGTGCCTCCATAGTCCTTGCCATCATACAGTTGTTCCCAGGTTTTTTTAGTATCTAATTCAGAGTCCCACCTGACTCAACAGAACCCAATCTCATAACTCAGCACAGTAATAGCAAAAGGGGAGGAGTAATTATTATCTTTTTTTCTTAATTTAAATTTTGCCATTTCTTTGCCTTTTTCCCCTATTTTATAGCATCTTGAACTTTGGGGAAGTAGGCATTTGTTTAATTAGCATCTTTGCCACTAACAGAGTATCAGAATTTACATGTTTTTCAAGCTTTGCACTTAAAAACTGCAAATGCTTCAAATATATGCTTAACTTTAAGGACCAGCAGACCCCAATCAAGTCAGTGTGACCACTCAAATGAAATATGGTAAGACCCTTGCTAAAGTGTTTGCAGGACAGAGGTTTAATCTTCTAAAGCTTTATTTTATTGGTAACAGCTATGTAAAAATTCAAGTAAGATACAGTCAGGGGTGATGGTTTCAAACTGGTCCATTCTAGTTCTAACACACACATACATGACATGCCTCTGATAATCAGAGGTGTATCTGTGTCCCACAGTACCTGATTTTCCTGCTGTAGATGGTCTATGTCTGCAAGAGGCATCATGGAAGGTCTTCCATGAGCACACTGGAAGGGCAGCTGGCAAGATGACAAAGCTTCAATAAGCCTGCAGCTCTCCTCCAAAGTCAAATACTCATTAAACTTGATAGCTCCTGAAAAAAAGATACAAATTCTTGCACACACTGCCAAAGAGACTTCAAACCACCCAGCAGACTTCCCTCCACAAATGTGGTTTTCACAGAAAACTGGGCAGCTCCCAAAGATGAGCTGGGAGGATGCAAAGGCGGCCCAAAGGCTGCAGTATGGCAGACTTAGGGCCCTCCATGTCCTAAACTTCCACGTAACCCAAGTCTGATGCATGGTGAGATTATGAGGTTTTGGCTTTTCAAATGGGCTGCCTTTTTTTTTTTTTTTTAATGTATGTGTGTGATGGCTGAAGATCCAACCAGCTCACAAAGCTAATATCAGTTCCATAGGCTTTATCAGTTCTATATCAGTTCCAAGACCACATGCCAGCCCTACCACTAGGTCCTTTCTCACAAGTAAGCACTTAATGGCATCCAGAGGAAATCCAAGCGGAACATTAAGGAGTTATTTATTTCAGAGGTGTTGGCAATCACAGATGCACGAGACCATCTGCACTCAGCCTTTCAGCTCTGGGACATTTTTAGATATAAAAGAATTATCTGTTGTCTGCCATTTGTAGAATGCAGTGATAGTCTGTGAAAATGGATGCTTTTGGTTCACTTTTACCCTTTCAGCATATTGTTAATACTGTATATGGCACAGGAACCGCCACGAGAGGCTGGAGCTACTGCAGTCTACACCTGTAAGGTCTGCTCATTTAGAGGTGCTGGAAAGCCATAGTTCCTTAGAAGATATAAATTCCTACTGCACTCCTTCCACAAATACTTGAAAGGTCACAGGCACACTTAAACTAGCACTTTTGATATTACAAAATTTAAAAAATGCTTTCTGGGAAGAGCATCTAAGTCTTTCCTGCTTGCTTTCAAGCAGATTCCAGCACCTCCCTCTGCCCCTTCACAGAGCCGTTATTTGAATGGTTTAGAGCTCACAGGGATGAGTGCACCCGAGAACTGTATTCTGTGTTTCATGTGAGGGTTGGAAAGTACCTTAGGCCCATACGTTAATAAATCAGTGCAGTACTGCTTGTGCCTCATAGCGATACCCATTAAAAGACCATTAACTCCTCATCCCTCTGAAAAAAACAGTCTGTAACCCTGGAATTCCTGCAAACACATTCTGAAACCACTGCCCCAGGGAGGATGCTGTGTAGAGACAGAAAGGTAAAGAAAGAAAAACAAAAGAAAAAGAAAAGTACAGTACAGTTTCCCTACCATGACAGGCCTGGGAAGCTAACACCTTCAGAAACGTCAGAGGCAGTGTCCCTCGTGCTCCTCCTCCCGTGGTCTGCACTAACTAAAAGTAGCAAGGGAACATCATCTTACTTTCCATTTAATATGAGAAAAAGGAACAACTGTAACACAAAGGAAACTAAAAACAAGGAAAAGCTAGTGGAGTATCTAGTCCATCCCTCTCATTTGAGGCTTAACACGCTTACTCCCTTTGGTTCATGCAGTAAGCTTTGCATTATTATAGTCAACTTCAGAAGCAGACAGTAACTCACCTCAACTTGTTCTTGAAGAAGCTCCTGGAAAGAAAAAGATAATATCATCATTTATTTTTTCTCTCTTTCATTGTCTATACTGTGTATAATTTACTGTGCAACTGCCAGAACCAGGAAAAATTATGCTGTTGCTAGTATACTGACCACATTGTGAAAGATCTACATGCAAGTCCTGACCTCTCACAAGTATCTTATCAGACTTTAGACTAATCACTTGGTTTCCCTCCGCATCAGTTGCCTATCAGTAGAATGGGCATAATGGAACTCTTTATACCTCAGAGTACAATTACTGAGGTAACTGCCCTTACTTCTTTGGATAATAGTCCACGTGGATTTAATTTCTGATGTCTAAAATGCAATGAATTCATAATCAATCATGAATAGTTGCTGCCAGTCCTAATTAAAATAAAAAGGATTGCAGAACAGATGTGCCAAAATGCTCGTGAGATCTTGAGGTGTCAGCTAAGAATAAGTGTTCATGAGGCACAGACCTGATCCCCTCCTCTGCCGCTTTTAGTGCCCTCGGCTCCCAGATCACACCAGGAGAGTGTATTTTCAGTTCTTCCCAATTACAGCAAGGTTGCAAAAGAAAATTTAATCAGATGAATAATCTTCTCCATTTCTTCTTTTCATATCAAAGAGAGATGCATGGCAAGACTGGACTGATTCACAACGGCTCAGCCTGCAGGCTGAATATGGTACTCCAGAAACAATTTTTAAGGAGTCCTTGAAGCAGTTATGATTGTGGAGAATTGTTTACAATGGAAACTGCAAGTAATCAGTTCATCAGTTTCTTCCTCAAACTGCAGAACATCTGGAACCGCAGCTTTTAGAAAGCTGCACTGCCCGTGTAGAAGTTTCATGAAGAAAACTTTAAATCCTAATAAATAATATTTCTGTATTGGCAATATTAATAATTTAACTGTTCATTCAAGTACTTACTGTTCATTCAAGCATTCATGAGCAGTAAACTATTGAAACACCTGCACGATACACTATTTTTCTGAGCTTCTCCAGTAGTCCAAGTCTGAAACAGTCTCCTATCATTTCTGGGACTATCTGTGGGACTATTTAACTACTGAAAGGGATGGCACCTACATCTGCCAAGGGACTTCACTGTCTCCCTCCTAACAGAGATACTCTAATACCCTGGGCTATTAACACAGAGCAAGACTCAGTATCACAATTTCACCCATATCCACAGCTGACCTCCACAATGCTTTTAGTGACAGGTTGTCTTTTCCGTCGTAATTCACTGGCTTCTTTCTCTATAAAACACACTGGCAC